TAGGCATACACAACCATGCCTGGCTTCTCTCAAACTTTATACTATAATATTGATCAAGTTTTTCGAGATGGAAGAGCATGTGGTTGGGGGGGCAGGAAGATGTCTCAGTATGTTGCCGCGGGGGTTTGTCTCAAACTCCTGAGCTTAAGGGAATCCTCCTACTCAGCTTCTGAGTAGCTGTGACTAGATACCTGGCTTTACTCAAATTTTTAAGGACAAGATTTGACAATACTTTTGAAAAAAGATTTTAAAACTGTGTATATGCTTTGACTCTAAAATTTTAAGACTGAGCCTAAATCCTAAAAATATTGAAATGAGAAATAAAGAGAAAAGACATAACTCTAAAGATGATCTTCACCCTATTGTAATAAAAAAAGACATACAAGACTAATTAAATAATAGTAGTTTTGTAAGATGACATGGTACGTACTCTTTAAAATTACTATTTTTAATACCTTTAGATCTAGTAAACATGAGGCAATCCCTTCCCTCAAGTAGTTTACACACAAACAGGAGATATAGACAATAAACAAAGAAATAATCTCAGATGACAGTTTTTATAAAGAAGGTAACTCAGTGGTCAATGAATGACATCTCTGAAGTAGTGACATCTGAGCAGAAATATGGTGCTCTCTGAAGAAGGAATAACAATTTTAAGGGGATAAGCTTTGCATGCTTAAGAATCTCAAAAGGACACAATTCTAGGGGGGAATGGTAGATGAGATATTTGTGAAGCAGGCTTGGCGCTAAACTGGCTTGGAGCAGCTCTGCTTAACTTCATAACCTCTAAGTCACATGTTACTACTAAGCACTTGAAACATGGTTAATCTTGAACTGAGATGTCCTATGAGTATATACACCAGATTAAAAAAATTAAAATATCCCGTTACTAATCTCTTATATTAATTACATGTTAAAAATAATCATGTTTTGGGTAAGATGAAATACATTTCACCTGTTTCTCTTTCCTTACAATGTGGTTATCAGACAAACTTAAAATTATTAAGTGACTCCCATTTATGGCTTGCTTTTTTTTTTTTTTTTTTGAGTATCAGAGTGTTCCATCTCATTTCCCTTTGGGGTTGCTGTAGGTGATCTGGAAGTCTGGTTTTGAGACTTATTTAAGTGTTTTCTCATTTCAAATGGGGGTGGGGGGGCTGTTGGCGCCTGCACGGATTACCTCCTCTGAGCTGGGAGAGGTGGGACAGGGGCCGGGAGCAGCGGTAGGGATGGTGGCCCAAAAGCCCTTTCCTGTGGGCTGGGAACAGTGGGAGGGATGGTGGCCGGGAAGCCCCTTCCTCTGGACCAGGAGCAGTGGGACGGCGGCTCAGAAGCCCCTACCTCTGGGCCAGGAGTGGCGGGACTCAGTACCGTGCTTTGGTGGTCCGGTGTCCTCTGCGTCTTTGTAGTGTGGAACCAGGTGGCTGCCCGTCTCAATCAGTTGTTTGCTTTTTTTTTTTTTGGTACCGGGGATCGAACTCAGGACCTTGAGCTTGTGAGGCAGGCGGTGTTGTTTTTTTTTTTTTTTGAGACAGGGTCTTGCTAGATAGTTCAGATTCGCCTTCAACTCACTATGTAACCCAGACTGGCCTTGAACTTGTGGCAATCCTCCCGCCTCAACCTCACAAGTGCTGGGATTACAGGCATGTACCACCACACCTGGCTATATCATACTTTTATTGGCATCACTGGTCTAGGGTATAAAAACCACAGTAAAAAAATTTTTTGAAATTTATTATATGCATTGAAATCTACTGAAAAGCCAGATGGCGTTGACATACATATGTAATTCCAGCTATTCAGGAGGCTAAAGAGGAGGACGGCAGGTTTGGGCCCAGCCTGGGGAACTTAGCAAGATCCTGTCTCAAAAATTAAAAAATAAAAAGGGGTGGGGATGTAGGTCGATACAAAGGTCCTGAGTTCAATCCTCAGGACTGCAAAAATAAGTAAACAAATAAACAGGATGGGATGTAGCTCAGCATCCCTTGGGTTCAATCCCCAACAGGGTTGGGGAAAAAAGAAAAGCAACTAAAGGGTTTGAGCCTGGAAGTAGGACACTCATATCTATATATCTAGAGATATCTATAGATATCTATATCTAGAGATATCTAGATATCTAGATATCTATAGATATCTTTTATTTTCCACAGCCAGAGTAGATTGTAGAGGACCAAAAGCTGAATAAAGGACACCAGTTAGATAACTACTACTTCCATCTTATGTAAAGCAAAGGTTTAGGATATCATACTTGGGATAAGTTCTAACTTATCCCAAACAATGTTCAGAATTAACTTTTAATAGTTTACAAAGGATATAAATAATGCAAACACAAAAATCAAGGATATACCTGGCAAAATGTTAACAAAGATTAACTATGGTGGTTGTAATGGTGGCCTTTCTATCTCTTTTTAAAACTTTTCTTTTTCTTTTGGTAATGAGAATTGAAGCCTTAGAACTGAGCTACATCCCCCTTTTTTACTTATTTTGCAACATGGACTCCCTAAGTTGTTAGTAGCCCAAGATGGGCTCAAACTTGTGATCCTCCTGCTCAGTTTTCTCTTGGAGTCAAGGGGTTTCAGGTGTGCACCCCCATGCCCAGCAAGGGTGGCTTTTCTTTGTATCTTTCTATTCCCTCTCAAAGTCTGGGGAAAAAATACACATACTGCCACTGCTCTTATAATCAAATACAAAAATGAATTTCTTTAAAGCAGGCTAATAAGGCCCTACCAAAACAAAGCATCTTAGTACTTGTCTGCAAGTTACATATATAAAAAATGCTCTACTTTCATGCAAAAACTTTCACACAAAAACATGTTCAAAGCTAACACAATCATTACATATTGCCTCTCACACACACATAACACACACACACATATCTCATCTTCAGAAAACTAAGGAATATAAAAAAGTTATGCCCTAATTTGTCATGGTATGCTATTAGCATGATAAAACAGTTCACAAGCTAAAAAAAAAAAAAAAACTTAAACGTGTTGTTAACAAGTCCTAAAATATCCATCACACACCCTTATGTCTTTCTCCAAAAGACACACTATGTAATTGCACACAGTAACACCTTAGTTCTAATGCTTTCCTTTAAAATCTGCCATTTGATAAGTGCTTCTGTTAAATAAAGTTAAAATACACTTAGGACAGGTTTTTCACAAGTATTCAGTAAAACAAAAATGTTTTAACTAATATGCTCAAGTATTTTCCTATGCCTACAACTCACTCACTCCTTCCTTTATCTTTCTCACTCTCCTTCCTTCCTTTCTCTTTGTCTCTTTCCTGTACTCTAGACTGAAACCAGGGCGTTATTCATGCCTGGCAAGCACTCCACTGCTGAGCTACAGCCCCAATTCTTTCCATTTTTTTGAGACAGACTTTGGATAAGTTGCACAGGCTGGCCTCAAACTTGTGATCTCCTGCCTCAGCCTCCACAGTAGCTGGCATGCACCACCATCTTCAGGCAAACTTACTATTTTTCCACTGGAAAAGCATGCCAAATTGTGCCAGACTTTTTTACAATTTAATTTCAAAGGATGAGATTCATTATGTAAAGATTAACAGGGATCTTGGTTTCTTATGCACATCTTCAACAGTGAGGAAACAATCATTGTAGCTATGAATCTCTTCCATTTAAACAAAAGAGAGAATCCCAAAACTTTTCATTCATCTTATTTCTAAGTGTGTCAATCTATTTTACTTCTAATGACCTAACATGTTCTAATGCAATCTACATCATTTAGAGAAACTTTTACAAAGAAATGTTCATAGAGCACACCTACTAAAAGCACAACGAAATAAAAATCAAATCTAAATACCCATGACTTATGAATTATATTATATATAAAAATATTATAAAACAATGAAATGAATGAACTGCAGCCACCTACAGTTTTTCAAATATTTTGATCATCTCCATCCCCCATCGTCCTCCCTTACACTCTCTTCCTGTTTTATCTTCTTACACTGCATTGTGTTATATATTCTTTTGTGGTGTTAAATATATTCTTGGTTACTTTTAAATTTTTTATTGAAATATAATTGATACACAATAAACTGCAGATTCAAAGTATAAAATTTCTAAGTCTTGACATTTGTACACATACAGGAAATTGTTGCTAAGATCAAGATAATAAATCCACCAACTCCTAAATCCCTCCCCTGTACATCTGATTCCTACCTTCCTTAAATACACTTTCAAAACCTAAGAGAAAAAGTTTAGGACAATCTGTTCTGGAAACTTAAATGTTCACCTTTTTGCAAAATCTTTTCTCTGCAGCTCTGGGGACTATACAACTCAGCAAATGCCCTGAAACTAGACAGAATTACTTCATAACCATCCCTAAAAGGTGACGGTATTTTACATTTTAAAAAATCAAAATACAAATCTAGTTTGAAAGAGGAATTTGATCTTGATTCTCTAAGGCTCCCGGTTTCCATCGCTGACCTGCACCCTAGAAAGGACCCCGAGCCCCGACGTCCCGAACTCGCACTGGAAGCAGCTTCGCGGGTTGGGGGTGGGGTCCCCACGGTGTCACAGAGTCTCAGAGAGGGTGAACCACTTCGGACACTACACACCGATGCCCAGGAACTCGAAAACACGCACTGCCGCTCCAAAGAGCGAGCGGCCGCCAGCGGGAGCGCCAAGGGACCCGCACCCGGTGGCTCCCAGGCCGCTTCCGGCCCGCGAGGGACACGCAGGCGGAGCGGGGCGGGGGGGGGGGAGTTGACGGCTCGACCAAGGAGGGGCAGAGACCCGGGGGACACGAGCATGAGGTGTACCAAGGTGGGGGGACACGGGGAGGACTCGGGGACACGAGGGAGGTCGGGAGTCCTCACTTCAGCTGGGTTGGGGGGGACAAGAGGGGGCGATTGCCTCAGCCGGGGGTGGCACGAAGTGGTCCCCAGGTCCTCGCCTCCTCTGGGTCGGCAGAAGGGGGACCGAGTCCCCTCCCTCAGCCCCCAGAAAGGAAGGCGGGATCCGCCTCGCTCCTCACCTGGCGGCGGCTTCTCCGCCTGACGCGCCCGCCGCCGCCGGTCCGCGGTGAGTAGTGGAGCAGGTGAGGCCGCGAACCCGGCTCGCTAGGCTATTTACTAAACTTTTCGGCGTGGCCTTGGGCGGCTGGCGCGCCGCGGAGAGCGCTGGGATTGGCCCGCCCGCCCGTCCGCCGCTGACCAGATTGTGACCCGCGGGGCGGGGTCTGAGGCGGGGAAGGGGGCGGTGCGAGACCCGGGGCGGAGGGCCATTGGCCGCATCCCGGAAAAGGGGCGAAGCGGGCGGGCGGTGCTCCTCCCTTCCCGCCCGACCTGGGACAACCCGCGAGGTTACTGCCGCGTGAGAAGTAGCGCTCTCCCTTAAGTGGTGTGGCTGGCTTCCGCGGGCCCGCACACTTTCTGAACCCCCCAATTCCGCGAGGAGTAGTGTAGCTCTGCTGCCAGTGACGGTGGGGGAGGGGTTGTCCCCGAGTTCGCGCCCTCGAGCGCCTAGGGAGGGGAGCAGGTGTGGTCCGTGGGCGGCAGAGGAACATTCTCCCGAGCAGCCCATCTGTATTTTAAATTTTGAAGCTTTATTAGTCATGTAGGGGTTTTGCATTACTTTTGATTTTTAAAAATCTCTATCGCTTGAACAGTATTCTGTGTCTTATAAATAAATCTGCATACAGGAGGTGATTTACCCAACAGCACCCTAGAAAGCAGGCGTTCTGTCTTCTGTCTCGGTTCTTCTTTGGGGGGCGGGTGCCGGGGATCGAACTCGGGACCTTGCGCTTGCGAGGCAGGGAGCGGAACCACTGAGCTAAATCCCCGGCCCCCTGTCTCGGCTCTTGACCCAAAGCCTCACAATAGAAATCTACAGTTCTAAAGTCTAGGACGCAGTCCAGCCTTTGGCTTTCAGAGAAGACCCAAGCCCCCGTCCTTGAATTACCAATTGCATCTTTTGGGGGGTTGCGCGTTTCAGGGTTCATTTCCTAACATCTCTCTGTGTGTTAGGCCTTAAAGTTTGTAGAGAAATTCAAACAGCAAGAGAACTTATGATACCAACTGGCATGTTGTGACTAGGATTTGGTTTATTATAATGCAAATAACTAATTTTGCTGTGTAAACCATTTTTCTAAATAAACGTGTGCTTTGTTATTAAATTAAAACATGGTCCATAGTACAAAAACCTCTCACGATTTTTATTACAACACGTTTTGTCTATCAAAGAAGACTATGCAGAAGGCAAAACTCTCTTCTTGATTTAAAAAAAAAAAAAAAGGTGCTTTTCTGCCGTGTCCAGAATGGAGCAGGTACAATGGTGCATGGCTATAATCTCAGCATCTGGGAGGCAGAGGCAGAAGGATTGCAAGTCTGAGGCCATCCTGGCCTATGTAATGAAATCGGCTCAAAACAAGCAAAACATAGAAGTTAGCCAATTAATACTCATATTCTTTGATTTATCTTCATTTTTAAGTCTATTGTACTTGAAAACACTAGTCAAAAATATATTCATTGGCTAGTAAAAGCTAACACTCCACTGATTATTCTACATAAGACCCTGTATTAAGCAGTTATTTATTTGATAAAGACATCTCAGTACACACATAAATATAGTCAGATGATTTTTGACAAAAATGTAAAGGTAATTTTAATGTAAATACAATATTTTTCAACAAATGGTAGTGGAATAATTGGACATTCATATTGGGGAAAATATACCTAGATTCAGACATTTTGCCTTTTAGAGAAATTAACTTAAAGTGGGACTTAAATGTAAAGCATGGACTAGAAGAAAGTCCATTTGGCCTTGTGTTTCCTGAAGGGTTTTTAGACATAACACAAAAAGCAACCTATACACAAAAATACATGTTGGACTTGATTAAAATGAACTTTAAACTGAGCATGGTGACCCATGCTGTAATCTTAGCGTTCTGGAAGGCTGAGACAGGAGGATTGCAAGTTGGACCTCAGACTTGATAATTTAGCAATTTAGGGAGATCCTGTCTCAACATTTTTTTAAAAAAAACAAATTTTCAAAAGAACTGGGATTGTAGCTCAGTGCGAAGGCCCTGGGTTAAGTCCCTACTATCACAATAAAAATAACCTTGGCTGTGTGAAGGACACTAACAGTGAAATGAGAGGATAAGCCACAACTAGGAGAAAATACTGACAAAATACATATTGGTAGGGGACTCATATCCAAAATATACAAACCACTAATTTCTTTTTTTTTTCTTTAAAACAAAGTCTCACTATGTAGCCCAGGCTGGCCTTGAACTCATGATCCTCCTGCCTCAGTTTTGGAGAGCTAAGATTATAGGTTTGTACCACCATGCTCAACACGATTCTTTTTTAAATGGGCAAAATATCAGACACTTCAGCAAAGAACATGTAGAGATAATAAATGAGAATATGAAAATATATACAACATCATTTGTCAACAGGGAGATTCAAATTAAAATAGGAATTAGGTACTACTGTGGACTTATTAGCATGGCTAGACTAATCCATATGGGACTGGACTGAATTTGAGTTGGAGACATCCTTGTATACTCATATTTAATTTCAGCTGCAAATGGATACATAGGAATATTCATATATGCACATATGTGTGTTTGTGTACATTTATTAGCATATACATATCTTCTTCCTCTGTCACTTGAGAGGACCCAGAAGCAGTCACACCCTAGGAATAAGCAGCACATCTGGCACCTGGATCTTGCCTTGTAATTCCATCCCAATAAAAGGAGCCAGGGCTTCCAGGAAGTGGCTGCTCCTAGGGCTGGGGCAGGGAGTACACAATCCTATCCTATCCTACATGAGGGCATCTTGTGGTGCAGAAAGTAAGGAAGCACTAGGAAACCCTACTGCAGCTAGGGCTATTTCAGAGGAATACAAGGCCAACTGAAAGAGTTCCCAATACCAAAGGTGGAATAATTTGTGTAATAAAATTAATAAAGCAATATTGGATTATAATCCAATCAGTGTGCCCCACACTGATGGGCCACTGACAGGGTTCTCTTGTGTCTTCTCCTGCCCTGGGGATGCCTTTGTGCCGGCTCTAGATCCTGTGCCTGGAGGCCAAACTGGGCTTTCTGGAGGAGCAGCCTTGGGCTTTGGCCTCTATATGTGGGGAATGGCCTGGAAACAGGATGAGGAGCATGTGGGGTTGGGATATTTTTTCTTGGTACCAGCTGTGCTTGGTCACAGAAGATTGGTGACATTCTTCCACCAACGCCATGAGCTGTCAGTGGCCCTTTCCATCCAGTCATCTTTCTAGTTCACAGGAGCAGCTCCCTCCCCTTATCAGTCCAAAGCACAGTCTCCACTGGGCACTTATCAGTGGCACTGGGCAACCCAATGAGAGCCCTGGGTACCAGGCAAATACATACCTGCCCCCTGGGCCCTCAGTAAATATTTATTAAGTGAAGGATTCAGCTTTGTCACTTGGCAAAGTGTTCAAGTCTCCAGAGACCCTTGGGACTGTGCAGCCAAGTGGGCAGCACACTGGGCAGTCAGGGCTGGGCTCAGACTGTGGCTTCTTAAACTTATTAGGTGAGAGGTAAGTTGTTTAGTTCCTTATCTTTAAAGTGGACATAATAATATCTTCTTCACTAAGTTGACTACATGAAAAACAGATTATGCAAAGTGCTTAGCATAGTGTCTGGCACAAAAATAAATGCTCCATAAACAGTAGTTGTGTTATCTAGTTATCTAGTCTAGTCATGACTAAAATTAGACAGCCTTTTGCAATAGATAAATGAGTAAGGACACAGATGGGCTATCAGCAAGCAACCAGAAGTGATTGGTTTACTATGCATGAGGCCTGGGTTTGTTCTCTGGTACTACTAAAAAAAAAAAAAAAGTTATTGGCAAGCAAAATTAAAATAACAGTGAGATAGCATGTCTTACCTCCAAAGCTAGAAAGTTGCTTTAATAAATATATGAAAAAACATTCAACATCACTGGTCATTCGAGAGATGCAAATTCAAACAATGCTGACATTCCATCTCATTCCAGAAAGAATGGCTGCTATCAAGAAATCAACCAATAACAAATGCTGAGGGGGCTGTGGGGAAAAGGAACCCTGCTCCACTGTTGGTGGGAGTGCAGACTGGTGCAACCACTGTGGAAATCAGTGTGAAGATACCTCAGAAAAATAAAACTAGAGGTTCCATTTGACTCAGCTACTCCCCTTCTTAGTATCTTCCCAAAAGAATTAAAACATCATATCACAATGATATATGCACACCCACGTTTATAGGGGAACAATTTGTAATAGGTAAGTCTTGGAAACAGCCCAAATACCCATGAATAAATAAAGAAGATGTGTGGTTTTTTTTATACAGTGGAGTACTACTCAGCCATAAAGCAGGATAAACTTGCATTTCTAGGTAAATGGATGCACCTTGAGACCATACTCTTAAGTGAAGACACACGTTTAAATATCACATTGTTTCTCTGGTGTGAGAAACTGAAAGTGTAAATAAGGACCGAAATGTAAAATAGATATTGGGAAATGGGAAGAAAATGTTCAAATGGAAAGGGGAACAAGGGAAGGGGAGGAGGAAAGGAAGGAAGGGACTAGAAAGAAAAAGAATAGAAGGAAAGAAATGGAAACAAAGATTTTATAAATGAGAGGAAGAGGGATTGAAGGGAGGGGAGGGGAATAGGAAAAAAAGAAGAAACAAAATATATCACGCACCAGGTACAAATTCCCTATGATGAATGTGATCATTATGTATATCTAAAATGTACCAATAAATTTTAAAATTAATAAAATTACACTTGAAACTTTCCAGGACAGAATAAAACAGGAATAGAAGCCTGGCATGATGGTTCGCACCTATAATCCCATTACTCAGGAGGGTGAGGCAGGAGCATCACTGCAAGTTTGACGCTACCTTGGGCTACATAGTAAGTTCAAGACCAGCCTGAACTACATGGAGAGACCCTGTCTCAAAAAACCAAAACAAAACAAAAGAGCAGGAATAACATTTGTTGCTCAAAAATACCAGAATGTAATAGTTTTCAGAATTTAAGTGGATGCACTTCTAGTAATTGTGCTTTTAGTAGTCTTAGAAACTTTTTTTTTTTGGCAGTACTGGGAGTTAAACCAAGAACCTTGCACTGAGCTACATCCCATACCATTTATTTATTTATGTGTTAGTTTGTCTAATTATTATTGTGACACA